TATTTCCTTTTTTCTTTTTTTTCAAAAGCAACTGGTAGTAACGAACCAATGCTAATGAACTTGATGCATGCTGCTATATAAACAATACCCAATGAAAATAACGTAAAAAAAACTTGTCTGTCTTCTTATCACAAAGGTTGCAAGTCATTCAGGTCAGGACATGACAAATTTTACGAGTGTTTTATTAGATAAAAAGTGCTTGGGGTAAACTGAAAAGACTTTGTTTATTGCATCAATACAATTTATGACAGATGATAGGCGTAACCGGGCTGGCATCAATAATATGTACTTGTAACCTTCAAGGCGGTGCGTGAATTGGATGGAAAAGAGTGGTACAAATGTAGTTGAACCGGGCGCCTCCGAGATCTCTCTCTCTCTCTCTCTCTCTCTCTCTCACACACACACACACACACACACACAAAAGCACATACACACACACACACACACACACACACACACACACAGGGACGTTTAAAAAAACGTTCAAATTGTCACGTATGATTTTTTTAATGCAGTGTATTATGCAATCCCCATTCCAAGCATATAAGATAAAAAATAAAACCAAACAAACAAAAGGGACAAAGCCGATAGTTTATTCACATATGTGTGGGCTGATATGCAGTTTAGATACAGTCATCTCAACTAGTTTATTAAAGCATTGCCTATTTGGAAATGGAACATAAACGCATTTATTTGATAATGAGCTCTCGCAAAACACACAAAAGCAATCGCGCACTAGGTGTGTGTGTGTGAGAGAGAGAGAGAAAGAGAGAAAAAGAGGGAGGGATGGTAGGGGGAAAAAGAGAGGATTGGCTTGCATGCGTTAAAACAATTCCATCATCACAAAAAATTAGTTAGGTAAGGCGTTTCTATCTTCAATTGTATTAACTGTATTAACATTTTTTTCTTAATTAGCAGATTCAGTGCTTTTTATGCTTAACTTTTACTTAGGCGTTATTTAACGGCACCCCCTCCTTCAAGATAGCTCCCGCTGACTACTGTACACGTGCATTGGTCGTCCGCCAGTAGTCATTCTTTCATGAACAGAATTATAATGATCACTGGCGGACGCTCAATGCACGTGTGGTCACGGGGAGTGCTGGACTATTTGTACAACTCTTTTCCATTCGATTTATCTACCGCCTTGAAGCTTACAAGTACGTATGGCACCAACCCCGAGTATGCCCATTATGTCTATCAAAGTCTTTCCATTGTACCCCAGGCGCTTCTTATCTAATGAAACACTAGTAAATATGTCTTGCCCTCACATGTCAAAACTTCTGAATGAATGAGTGACTTGCCAACTTTGAAGATACTTGGTAACTGAAACCAAAGTTAGTGATAATGCATTTCACGTGTATCTTATTTAGCCATTCCTACCTTAACACATATCTTGAGGCAAAGTATTCGGTTCCAAAATGCAATAATTACGCATTCGTTTTGTATTTTTGGACGTTATAAAATAGCTGCCTTGGTTTAGTTTTGACAGACTTCGACATCCGTCAAGATTCAAGTCCTTCTCCTAAACTCCGCAGACTACATCTCTTTTCAAACCAAGATGATGAAGTTGGTTCTATTCGCTGCTCTTCTGACCGTGGCCGCCGCCATGTATTGGGAAAGTCTTGGTCAAAGGTGAGAGAGAGAGAAAGAGAGAGATTAGTGAAGGATCCATACATGTTGTGGATTCTAGCTGCAACAGACAGTTCATCTTATGGTGCATTTAGATTCAGTAAACAATCTGGACGACCATGCTTTTTTTTCTTTTACTAATGTAAATATTGTTTCGGGAAATTTCGATTTTTCTTATGATTTTTTTAATACTATGGGACTTGGATACTTTTGGACCTACATGGGCGTTGATAATGCTTTCAAATAGTATTTTGCCGCTTTTGACTTAATAGGTTTTGTACATAGCTAAACAGGTCGTTCTCCAGTCTTCTCCGCTAGTCTATTCCCCCCCTCCAAAATACATGTCCAGTTGTAAAGGCCCTAAGGCTTATACAACAAAATCGAGATATTAGAAATGAGACAAAACCTGTGGGGTTTATTTTTTATATTGAAAACTATAGGTTCCTGTTTTTATAAGGCCTCTTTAAGCAGTCAAAGTAATTTGAAAAGTAGGATTTGAAAAGTTGTCTTTTATAATTTGAATTAGGACTTACTACGGCTATCAACCAGACAGATATGGATATGGTTATAAACCAGACGACTATGGCACCAACAGCGGATATCGCAGTTACGGCTACAACAGCTATGCAGGGGTAGGGTATAACTACAACAGAAGGAACGGATACACTGGATACGTACCAAGGCCTTATAACCTAATGTGAGTTTAATGTTGACATTTTGATTTTGTTATATAATTTACTGTATCTTTTTTACCTAGAACATGTATAATCTGGTTTCTCCGACTAAAAAAGTATGAAAATTATGTATGACATTCAGGTATAAACATTATAACATTTTTGAATGTTTTTGTACCTTTTCTAACTCATCTTCG